GTCTAAACGCGACTTTTTTTTTTTCTATAAAAACTAGTAAGGTTTTTATTAATAAGAAAAAAAAATGCCAGTAATCGGGGAAAACGGCATTTTCTTCCGCGACATAACGATGAAAGCGCATACTTTGGTTGGTCGACGCATCGTGTTCGTGCTTCCGCTGATCCCTGACGGAGACGACTCGATCGGGATGTTAGCGAATATACATATATACTATATACGTGATAAAACATTATGAGAAAATAAAGAGGGACGCATAACGGAAAGTAAGAAATACGGAAATAAGAAGGGAAACGATTTAGTGCTCTCTCTCTCTCTCTTTCTCTCTCTCTATCTCTCTCCTGATGGAGTAGAGTCGTTCACGGCGTCCGCTGCTTCTCGATTTTCTTCCTTTTATTGCTTCATGGCCGAGAGAACGGCCGTTGCGGGAACACTCAGGAGGCTCGAGGTTGCCGCGAACGCTGTGAAACGAGTGCCGCTAATGGATCGCGTTAATTAATCGATGATTAACGTAACAGGCGTGGCGACGTGGATGAAACCACGCGCGCGGTTCCGCACGCGCTTTTGACTCTAATGCGTATATACGCGTTAATCTAAATAGGAACCAAAGTGTGCTGAAACGCAATGGACTTGTGATTGTGATAAGCGATGTAAGCCGCGCGGAAAAAAAAAAAAAAACGAAAGACGAGGGACTCGAAAGAACTAACGTACATATAATGAGATACCTAATCTCGCCTCTTCACAAATAAATTAAGTAACGTATAATGAAAATTAAAACGCAAAATTCATTCGATTTCCACTTGGGAAAGTAAACATATGATTACAAACGGATGACTCTGTCCTCCTTCTTCGCGTGTGTTTCTGATTCGCTGGATCTCCGTACGTCGGAGATGGTTGATCCTCTTGTGTGCGGCAATCTTTGCTCTCATCCTTACTACTCATTCCTCGCTCGAGCGCGAATCGATTGAAATTTTAACCTTCTTCTACTGGGCGCGCCTTTCGCTTTATCTGCTTCCCACGATGCCATTCCGTGATGAAAGTATCGAAGAATCCATTTCTCTCCCAGCATCGTATCTCGAGGATAAGAGAGAACGATGGGTAAAATGACGAAGCATTAACGGAAGTCATTCCTTCGTCGAGTATCGAGTGTTATTACTCGCAGCGCGAGCGGTGGGGCCATTTCCAGAGACACTAAATCCCCGAATAAAAATCGAAAGGCGGGTTCGCGCGCCACGATTAACCTCGGAGAGAACGAATTGATTATATATATATCGTATCGTACACGCGGGGAAGATGATGTCTCTCTTCCCCGAGATGAAGGATCCAAGACGACCCCGCGGATCGGTCGTCGGATCCAAGAGATCAGAGAGCGGGAGCGCGTGCGGTCATCATATATATATACGTAATACGTATCCCCCTCTTTAAACGTACATCCCCATCCCGTACATGGATCCCCAATCGACGCCCTGGAAGCTTGACATGTCGACGTTGGTGAGCGAGTAGCCCTGATAGGGATTGCCAGGCGCCGCGGCGGCGGCCGCGGCCGCAGCGGGCGAGGACGCCGCC